TTTTTAAGTAACAGCTATTTATTCTCAAGTGAGTATAATTTACCATAACAGCGCAAAACAAAGATATAAATAAATGACCATTACACTACAACAATAGTATTACATTTTTATTAATTAAATTCATTCTGAATGTTTTGTAAAAATGTTAATAATAATCATAGTTCTGTTATTTCTGAAAAATATATCAATGTTATAAAATATAGTAAATATTACAATATAAAAGTCTCAAATATTTAGATTGCAAATAAATAATAGTACTACTACTAATATTACTAATACCAATTAATTTTGAATATTATATATAGTCTAATGCTCATTATCATAGTTATTGTTTTGTCAAAAAGAATAAATATAACCATTAAAATCGGTTCTGCATATCAGTTTTCAGACACTTAAACAATTAAATAATTTGTACTGTATTGACTCAAATACAACCCAACTGGTACAGCCAAACCTCTTTAATAACACTTAAAGCAATCATACTGGGGCACAGAAAGTAGACTGTAAAACAGTTTACGTGGCACTTCATTAGATTGTGCTCAGTTATTTAGTACCCCTGAGAGATGGTTTAAACTAGGTCTATTGCCTAGCACATCTGGTGGTTCTCCGTGGTTTCTCTGCTTCATTGCCGGTGAATACATCTCTCAGAGATAGAGACACAGGCCAGTGACCTAGCAGATGGTCCACGTCCTCAGGTAGAGTTCTGGAGTGCTTTAATTGTGATCACCACTGCAATGGCATTAACACCCCCTTCATTCCCCTTGATATGAAACACTTACGATATGATAATCCTTATTATTCCGCAGAGCAATTTTCTTCTCTGTCTGAGACGCTCTGTGTGCTTTGAACCTCGGCCTCTGCTCTGTGATATCTACAAAGCACTACACAACGTAACTGCCCCACAGCGTTTCATCAGACCACAGCGGATAATACAGTTCCATTTAGCATGTATTTTTTCATCTGCAGAGCAGTAGACCAAATTGAAAAACAGAGCAGTGTTTTGTGAGATCAATAAGCCTGCAGTGACTAGTTGTGTGCAAGTTAAAACACTGGAAATCAGAGAGAATAAATATTTAAGCTTGTTAATATTGACTTGAAGCTAAAATAAATTTGCATTTTTTTATCAATGTGGTTTTAAAGGGATAGTTCACCCAAAAATGAAAATCTTTTACTCTGCCTCATGTCGTTCCAAATCTGTATGACTTCCTTTCTTCTGCATAAATGGAGTAATTTTGGAAAATGTGTTTTTTTCAGTGCCATTACATTGAATGTGCATGAACTGGAGCTTTCAAGTTCCAAAAAAGGTGCGAAAGCATTAGGTAACACTTTACAACAAGGGTACATGAATAATCATGAACTAATGCCTAAATTAATACTTAACCCTTTGATGCACAATCTATGAAAACCCCTTCTAATGCACAACATGAGTCTAAAATGACCCATATTCATTTCCTATATTATTTCATACTTAGCTGGGCATTTTTTTGTTTTATCTTTTGAAATCAGTTTATTTCAGCATTTAATATTCCCTGATCTATAAATTCCATGACCCATGAATATTCAAAATATCTTTTTACAATGACCACAAATAAACATTTTATTTTTTTCCAAGGTTTTTTGTTACTATATCAAAATTACACACATGGGTCAAAAATTACCCATCGATGCAAGCATGATAAAACAAGAATAAAGACATTTTGTTAAAATATTTATTTTAGTAGTTTAGTAGTTATTTAGTTATGTTTGGTCCATATATGTTAAATGATGTAAATAGATAATAAAAGGACTATAAATAACCTTTATCATTGTTTGTTGTAATGGTGGTGTAAAGGAATATAGATGACACTCTTACGGCAGGTTTAATGGTTTTTATTTGATGATTTGTTAATGCATCATTGTGTCAGGAGTTTATTTTGAGGGCCCACAATAATTAACTCATTATTAACTACCCATACACTAACATGAACTCATGGCTTGTTAATTCATTATTTTGACATGACTTTACTTGCGGGGGCCCAATCATAATTACTTCACTGTTAACTACCTATTAAACTCAGCTACCTACTGAACTGTTTCCGGGCATTTCTTTAGGATTGTTCTACAAATATTCTTTGTGGATTTTGAGGTTTTATTTTTATTTAGCTGCTTATAAGTCACTGCTGGGGTAGTTTAAAGGGAAAGAGAACAACACAAAACAGGATCAGTTATTAGTGTTTTTAGTATTTTCTACACTTGATGAGGAGAATCAACTAATCTTTTTCCACCCAGTAATGTTTATGGCAAAGATGAAGATGTAAAAAGCTCAAATGTTTTAACAACAGTTATAAAATGATAGTATTAAATTATTTTCCTTTATTTCAAAGTCAGAGTATTTCTTATTCTTTCTTAAAGAGGCTGTTTGATTTAGTTTACCCATAAATGTTAATGAATGCATTAACTATCAAACATCTACTAACATGTACTGTAGTTAAGGCTGCCGTTAATCATGTGTGAATCCATATGACTCCAGTTGTAGTTAACACCTTTAATAATCATTAGTATTTGATGAATTAAGAATTAATTTAGGCATTAGTGCATGATTATTCATGTACCCTTATTGTAAAGTGTTACCAAGCATTATAAAAGTGGTCTGTATGACTTATGAAAGCTAAGCTGTGAATGTGAATTAAATCCTTCATGAGAGAGCCTGCTTGTTCATTAGAGAAGTGACTGGTGAATGAATCATTTGAATTTTGAGTTGGACCTTTGCGTTAAATCATGCTGATCCAGTTCTCAGATTCGGCACACTGAATCATTGATTCTGTAGCACTGGTTAACAACTCACTTGATTTACAGGGAATACATTTCATCACAAAGTACTGAATGACTTTCTATGATTCTTTTATAATGCTTTTATGGCCTTTTGACAACTTTAAAGCTCCAGTCTCCATCTGAAAAGCACAGCCTGTACATGATTAAAATTCCCTTTTGTGTTCCACGGAAGAAAGAAAGGTTTCATACGGGTTTGAATCAACACATGGGTGAGTATATGATGACAGAATTTTCATATTTGAGTGAACTGTTCCTTTAATCCTCCAAGGACTAACTGATGATGCTGTTAGCACTTCAGGCTCCTTTTGTCACCAAGTATCTAGAAGTTCCTTGAAATAAATTCACAACTGGTGCAGAAAGAAAGAGATTAAAAGACAGAAGCTCGGCACTATTTAGTCAAACAGTCTTTGAAACTCTAACATAGTCTGTCATCTGTCAGACACTCGGCTCACAAACAGACTGCGCCTCTGTCTAATTGCGTTAAGCTTAAAAGAGGAAACGGGATATTTCGCCCCCATCATATCATTACCTTCCACTCAAAGTACTTATCGTTTAACTCTAAGGCTTTGAGGTTCAGCTCAATGGAAGCCAGCCTTCTTTCAGATTAGATAGATGAGGGTATATTGAAGGTGATGATGTCTGAGTCACTAGCACTAATGCACTTCCAGGAAAATACCACACTTTGAATCGAGTGGTGTCCTTGCGGCTTGAGACGTCTGTGCTGTCACGCTCAGCTTGTTCAGCATTGACGTTTAAATACAGGTTATTATGTATGTCTCGGAGCCCGGTATAGTCGTAATAAGCGTTAAATTGTTTGTGCATGATCCAGAAGAGGCTGTTCTTTGAAATGTTGTTGCTGTCTTACTTGGAATGATGGTGTCATTTATATGTTCTTTGTACTTTGTACTCAAGAAATGTCAAATGTGGTGAAGTTCATTCGTTTTATTAATTACTAAGTTTAATATAGATCTCTGCTTGGTTCAGTAGCACAGACTCGAGCAGTTTAACTGTTAATCCAAAACACTGAATGTGTGTGGGTATATATATTTACAACTATTTCACACAGAATAAATTTTTTCCTTCCTCTGCTCTGCTTTTTATTATTTATTTATTTATTTTTGTATGTTAAAAAAAGCATTCAGAAATTTGGTTTCAGTACAATTTAAAAAGTGCTCACCAAGGCTGCATTTATTTGGTCAAAAGTACTTTAAAAAGTGATATTGTGAAGTATTATTGTAGTTTAAAATAACTGTTTTCTGTTTTAATATATTTTAAAATGTAATTTATTCCTGTGATGGCAAAGTTGAATTTTCAGCAGCTATTACCGCTCTTTAGTGTCAACTGATCATTCAGTTTCATTTCATTTAGTGTTTAATAAGAGTTTCTTATTATTATCAGTGTTAAAAACAGTTGTGCTGCTTAATACTTTTATGGAAACCACAATAGATTTTTTCATGAATAGAAAGTTCAAAATAACAGCATTTATAGAATTTTAGCTTAGTAATATAATATAGTATAAACAGTATAAATAAATAATACAGAGATATTAATTTCTTTTTCTTTTTTTCTTTTTCTTTTTTTAAATCTTACTACTGACCATAAACTTTTGAATAGTAGTGTTTATTACATGGGACTCACTGAAAAAAGTACTGACTTCTAAACCAACAGAGAATTCTTTTATTTTATAGTTAATTCAATAATTTGTTTTATAGTTCTATTTTAAGTATTATATTAACTAACTCCTTTTAAAACTAAACATGTATTCAGTGAACTTTTTAGCATTGTGATGTCTGTTTTGTACACTTAAAATGGCATTCTGTTTGGCATCATTTTAATTTACTTCTTTTCATTAGACTTCAGTTGCCTATGCCACACATCCAATTGGAAGACTAAAGTCTAATAAGATTAAATCATTTATTAAATAAATAAATAAATTTTGTCATTGCAATGTTTTGCAATGCCCTTCGTTTTCACCTTTGCATACTTTTGGCCATATAGTATACAGTATGTCTGTGTCTCTACACTGAGGAACTTTTCATTTGGGTCGCATGCACTTCTGCCTGGACTGGTTGAATGTTGCTGCGGTGTGATGTACACTAGTTAGTTGCTATGAAACTGTTGCAGCAGTGGCTATACAATCAGTACGGCACCACGGAAGCACATCTCACTCTGTTCTCACCATCTTCCAGTGTCTTCAGAGACTCCAACTTCCATTCCTCCAACCACTGCCGACCTTAGTGAGTATGCCGACTGTGTGCAGTGTCGTTTGCCACTCTTTATCCGCCTGCTACACGTTTGTTCGCCTCACCTAGACCATTGTTCTGAAGTCAACACGTTCGCAGTAGACAGACAACACACATCTGTGATAGAGAAGAGAGACCGTGTAGATGTTAGTGAGAGACTGGCATCAAGCCTTCGTAGAGAACCATCACTAACATTTGCTTGTAGACCAGCTCACCTGTCTAACATGACACTGCATGGTAGACATACAGGAATATGACATGCTGTTTTGTGCTAATGGTTTATGAACTCATGATGTGTGCTGAGTTTTTATGCCATTGGATGTGCAGAAAGTTGTAGAAGCAGCATAACACTTGCAGTTCTCCTATTGTGCACTCTGAGATATTAATGAGACGTGTTGCATACTGTCACAAATGTGGAAACTAATGGAGCTGTCTTCACAACATTAAGCAAAATTGTCAACATTAGCATTCTTAGGAGTGCATGACATCCGACAGAGATGCAAGCATAGATGCTTTTATAGAATTGAGAATTGCAGTAGAGGAACCATCATCATAGAACAACCTGTGTTTGAGTGCACAAGGGCTCATGGTTCAAATCTACGAACTTGTACAATCACCAAATTAACAAGAGACGTCTTAATGACGTTGTGTGTTTCTATACAAGGGAATTTTGATCCTAAACACTAAAACATGCTCTCTCACTTCCTTCTATCCTGCGAGAGACGCCACCAAGTGTTAGCATAAAAATAGAGTTACCATGACAGCACGGATTACACCTGATCTCTCGACAAACAGACCGCAAATTGGGAGGGTCTGAAAAGGTTTTCCGCTGAAAGATAGTTCCTTTCGGAAGACAGCTATTCTGTCTCACTCAGTCAGAGAAATGACAGGGTCTTTATCTTAGAAGTAGGCAGTTGTTTGACTATTGTCTGCTTAGTTGACATTGACTGGCAGGTTTAAGATTGCACCAAACTAAAACTTCCTCGGATGTCAAAGAAATTAAAATATAATAGTGTTTTTTTAAAGCTTAGGTTTTTAGGGTTGTATGAGTAGATAAGCGAACAAAAGATCTGTTCTTTTTGTATGATAATGAGTCATAATCAGCATGAAGATTTTAGACTTTCTAAATTGCTTGACAGCTACATTTTTTAAGGAATCCTGGTGGTTTACAGACACTCATTTCAAATGGCTTCAAAGTGAATGTGAATGCTAGTGCTTATTTGTATGTGGAATGTGCCTATTTGTTCTTTTTTAATTAGTACAGTTATCTGTCTCAGAATGCAAACTTATTTAGCCAGAAGGTCTTTATGAACTCTTTAGAAAGCTATACTACAATGATTTCTAGAATGATTCTTGAAAGTATATATTGCAAGGAAGATGAACATTTTGATTTTATTTCTCTTTAGAGAACTTTAAGCATATTTTAAGCAAATTTAGTTCATTTTTATTGTTCGTTTTTTTCCCCTCACAGTATGGAAACCTGTTTTAGCAGATGCTTTTATGCAGTGTGGTTTCCATGAGGCTTCAATTTATGAATTTTTTTAAAGATTTATTTTTCGCCCTTTATTACAATAGGACTGATCAGAACTGACAGGAAGCAAAGTAGAAGAGCGAGAGGGGGGGAGGATCGGGAAAGGTCCTCGAGTTGGGATTCCAATTCGGGACACCCGTAGCGCAACGGCACTGAATGTCGGCATGATGCCCACAACAAGGCTATTGACGCCGACCAATTTATGCATTTTTACATGTAACTTAAGTATCTGAAGGTGTACATTTGGCATCACATCTAGGGCCAGATTTACTAACAACTTGTGCCAGCGCAAACCGTCTTTTGGCATTAAAATAGTACTATCAGGATTTCCTAAAGATGCGCAGTGAAGTTGTGGACACAGTTATTTTTGTGCCTGACCTTATTGAATATGCATTTGTAGGAGATTCCCTTTCAGACGCAAAGTTTATGGGAGGAAAGTATTAAATGCAATTTACTAACATTTGCGCTCGTCAAATTACTGGTATTTGCGCCATTATTTAACGCCCAAAAAAGCATGCCTTAAAGCAGGTGGTAATTTGTGCTTCTCTTGGTAGATTACGCTGGTCATTATGGAAATGATCTGGCTGCATCTGTGTTCTTTAATGTGCGCATAATTTTCCCCTCCCATCGGCGCTTTTGGAGTGCATGACATCCGACAGAGATGCAAGCATAGATGCTTTTATAGAATTGAGAATTGCAGTAGAGGAACCATCATCATAGAACAACCTGTGTTTGAGTGCACAAGGGCTCATGGTTCAAATCTACGAACTTGTACAATCACCAAATTAACAAGAGACGTCTTAATGACGTTGTGTGTTTCTATACAAGGGAATTTTGATCCTAAACACTAAAACATGCTCTCTCACTTCCTTCTATCCTGCGAGAGACGCCACCAAGTGTTAGCATAAAAATAGAGTTACCATGACAGCACGGATTACACCTGATCTCTCGACAAACAGACCGCAAATTGGGAGGGTCTGAAAAGGTTTTCCGCTGAAAGATAGTTCCTTTCGGAAGACAGCTATTCTGTCTCACTCAGTCAGAGAAATGACAGGGTCTTTATCTTAGAAGTAGGCAGTTGTTTGACTATTGTCTGCTTAGTTGACATTGACTGGCAGGTTTAAGATTGCACCAAACTAAAACTTCCTCGGATGTCAAAGAAATTAAAATATAATAGTGTTTTTTTAAAGCTTAGGTTTTTAGGGTTGTATGAGTAGATAAGCGAACAAAAGATCTGTTCTTTTTGTATGATAATGAGTCATAATCAGCATGAAGATTTTAGACTTTCTAAATTGCTTGACAGCTACATTTTTTAAGGAATCCTGGTGGTTTACAGACACTCATTTCAAATGGCTTCAAAGTGAATGTGAATGCTAGTGCTTATTTGTATGTGGAATGTGCCTATTTGTTCTTTTTTAATTAGTACAGTTATCTGTCTCAGAATGCAAACTTATTTAGCCAGAAGGTCTTTATGAACTCTTTAGAAAGCTATACTACAATGATTTCTAGAATGATTCTTGAAAGTATATATTGCAAGGAAGATGAACATTTTGATTTTATTTCTCTTTAGAGAACTTTAAGCATATTTTAAGCAAATTTAGTTCATTTTTATTGTTCGTTTTTTTCCCCTCACAGTATGGAAACCTGTTTTAGCAGATGCTTTTATGCAGTGTGGTTTCCATGAGGCTTCAATTTATGAATTTTTTTAAAGATTTATTTTTCGCCCTTTATTACAATAGGACTGATCAGAACTGACAGGAAGCAAAGTAGAAGAGCGAGAGGGGGGGAGGATCGGGAAAGGTCCTCGAGTTGGGATTCCAATTCGGGACACCCGTAGCGCAACGGCACTGAATGTCGGCATGATGCCCACAACAAGGCTATTGACGCCGACCAATTTATGCATTTTTACATGTAACTTAAGTATCTGAAGGTGTACATTTGGCATCACATCTAGGGCCAGATTTACTAACAACTTGTGCCAGCGCAAACCGTCTTTTGGCATTAAAATAGTACTATCAGGATTTCCTAAAGATGCGCAGTGAAGTTGTGGACACAGTTATTTTTGTGCCTGACCTTATTGAATATGCATTTGTAGGAGATTCCCTTTCAGACGCAAAGTTTATGGGAGGAAAGTATTAAATGCAATTTACTAACATTTGCGCTCGTCAAATTACTGGTATTTGCGCCATTATTTAACGCCCAAAAAAGCATGCCTTAAAGCAGGTGGTAATTTGTGCTTCTCTTGGTAGATTACGCTGGTCATTATGGAAATGATCTGGCTGCATCTGTGTTCTTTAATGTGCGCATAATTTTCCCCTCCCATCGGCGCTTTTATGGAATTGTGCTCTAACGCTAATTTGCCCAGTTTAGTAAATCTGGCCCTTAGTATTTGACTTGTAGACTGCCGACCTTTAGTTGTGTTGGAAAACGCTGCTCCTCGTCTTTATCCTCCTCCACCCTTCTCAGCTACAGTCCTGGGCTCATATATGTAAACATCTCAGGCTGAAAGTGCTGATCTAGAATAAGTTTTTGTTTTCCATCCTGATGAATAATCCTAGATCAACATTTCAAAGTATTGTCTTGGGACTTTGTACACATGGGCAGTCTCTGCCTTAATGCTTCTCATTTGCCTGTTCTGTAGCATCCAGCTTCATGTCCAGTAGATGAGGCAGGTTTCTATCTGTAAGGTCAACATCACTGAGTTTCCTCTGCCTTTGGATGGCCTGCTCTGTTTCAGTTGGTTTGACAGCCCTATTGATGCTATTCAATCTGCACAAGCATTTATAATTCAATGTACAGTGCAAGAGAGCTGTATTTGAATCCTCTTATCGAAAGAACCACTCGCAGTCAGAGGAAATACTGCTGGTGAAGTGGATTCATAAAGCAATTTGGACCCTATTCTTACCCTGCATATTTTAAATGGGCTTCATGAGAGCTGATATAGGGACGATTTTTTTATAAGTGCTTTGATTTGTATTTGTGTTTCAAAAATAATAAAAAAAAACCTGTCCAGGAATTGCTTTATGGATCTATACACACTGTATCTAATGTTACAGAGAAGTATTTGTTTATAATTTGTTTTCTTTTTGTTGTTTGTGTTTCTGTTTGTACTTTTTGGTCTTAACACGTTCCATGTTTGTATAATTTTTTTCAATGTTTTGTATTTTCCATGTGACCCCTCCCCCCTTCCACTTTCCCTTCCCACCAATCATGTGCGTGCGTATCATGTGACTTTGTCATATGACTCTTGCATGGTGCTGATGATGTCGTCTTCGCTGGTGAACAGAAGGTAATTTTTGTTGATTTTATTTTGTTTTGTTTTGTTTCTTTTCTTTTTTCTTTTGGTCCGATTCCCATTAACAGTGAGAACAGACAAGTTAATGAGGGGAAGATAGAGGAAACACCCACCTAGTACCATCAGGGTTTATGAGCCATTTCATTTTTGAGTCATTCATCCTTTAGAAATCTCTCACTACCTACTTTATTTGGCTTTTTGAAAACCATTAGCCACTCTGCCTAGACAGTAATCCCAAAGCTTAGTCTCCTACACATGCTGCTAGGTGCTCTGCATGTTGAACTTCTTATTGATTTTCAATATATATTTTACTATACTGACATAGAAATCATTTCTACCCTCCCACTCCAACTCTACTTTTAGTAAATGATGCAACATTTTGAGACAATGTCCGAATATCTTTGAAGGAATAGTTCACCCTAAAAAGAACATTTGCTGAAATTTTACTCACCTTGTAGATGAGTTTGCTTACTCAGAACAGAAATTACTCAAAACAGATTTTGAGAAATTTAGCTTCTTAAAATAGCTGTTTTCTATTTAAATCATTTTTAAGCAGCCGTTAATCCAGTATTTAGTTACATGATCTTTCATTTTAGTTTGTTGATTTCAAGCATTTGTTATTATCGATGTTGAAAACAGCTGCTTAATATTTTTGTGCAACCCATGATTGTTTCGGGACACTTTGATGAATAGAAAATTTGAAAGAACAGCATTCATTTGAAAATTATTTTGTAACAATATAATCATAGCATTTTGAAAAATAAAATAAAATACAAAGAGCATTGCTACTCTTGATCAAATCAGTATGACCTTGCTTACTAAAAGTATGAATTTCTTTCTGGAAAAAATAAATAAATAAATCTTACTGACCCCAAACCTTTGACCTGTTGTTTACTATTATTATATTATATTATAAGAAGAAGAAAAAAAATATATATATACAGTATATACAGTATATCTCTATCTTGCGGATTCTGCCAGGTGCCAGGAGAATGTAAACTTATGAGCAGAACTGAATCCCAAACATCTAATCTAACTTGTTCATTATATTTCTTAGGTCAAACATTTAGATATTCTATTGTCTTGACCTGAAATTCATCTCATTTGTCATGTTTTATATATTTGGTGGCGTATATGCACCGTGTCGCATCAGTTCCTAATAGGGGCTTGTGTCTAGCAGCTATTTATGATAATGAATGGGAGCAGAGCACTGTGGCCTCCTCCCAGTCTCCTATAGTGACACAGGTAGACAGCTAACATCCCAAACAAGCGCCCACACATGCGCATATACCTTCCCCTTCGGCTGATATTATTAAATGTAATGGCTGAGAATCTCCAATCAAAGCATGGAGGATAATTAAGTGAGTTCTGTCATTAAGTAGTGGGCAAGTCGAGATAACGAGTTCCCCCAGAGACTGCATTACAGCGCCGCTCTCTTCCTCCATCACTGCCACCAACACAGGTCCAGCTCTCATTACAGCCCTCCACATGCCCAAGCGACTCAGCTCCACTTTTACAAGAGCCAAGCGCTTTCATTAATGTTCCACATTTGGAAGGATGGGAGGCAGAAGTCATCATTATGCTGCCAGAAAGCCTCTGCGATGAGATGTCTCGACAGTTTAGCCAAAAACGAGAACAGAGGAATTTAGACTTTGCTAAGTGACTCAACTATAAAGTGTTACATCTCATCCTTTGATCGTTAATTTAAAAAATTTTTGTGCATAGTTTAGAGGCCATGCACTGCTATATAACTTCCTTTTAAATTCTCCCAGCTGGCTCAACACTGTAAATTAATTATAAGCTAAAATTAGCCAGGATTTTAATTAGCTAACCTATTTCTGCAGTTCGTATTCAGAGATAAAGAATACCTTGTGGATTACAAATCAGCTGTTAAAGGATGAGGGGGCGTTCACCTGTGGAAATGTGCCTGTGTTAGGGCACATTTTGAATCTTTGCTGGGGTCTTCTAACAGTGTTTTTTTTTTCTGGCCGTTTTCTCCTCAGGGGAACCTAATCCTCCTAAACTGGAGGCTAAGCCACTGTCCACAGGCAACGAGATGAAGGTCCACTGGATCAAGCAGGACGATGGGGGCTCTCCCATCAAACACTATCTAGTGCGCTACAGAGCTGTGAGTATGATTGGGCATGAGGTAACACACTTAACTCATCCTGTCGTCTGAATTACTGATACCGCCGTTGCAAGAGTTACATGCCTTTGGAGAGGTAGTGAAGTTCGCGGGTCATTGACATAAAAGGAAAAAGAATCTAGTTTAAAACACATGTAGTGTTCTTAGAAATCGACTCTTTGTGTTGAGAAATTTTTTAAAATGTTTATTCAATTTTCAAGAAAAAATAAATGACATGCTCTAACAAAAATATTTTTTTATATATTTCCATAAATTAATTCCGAATTATGTATGGAAAAGACACAATATGATATTTTATAACCTGAACCAGTTTGTCATACAATGGTCAAATTATAAATTAGCGTAGTCGCAAATAAACAGAGCCGATGCTCATCAGGTGCAGGTCATCTACTTACGACACAGGTGCAAAATAGTTTAAGACATGCTTTTTTGGGCATTAAATAATGGCATACCAGTAAATAAATACCAGTAATTTGATGAGTGCAAACGTTAGTAAATTGCGTTCTGTGATTTGAATACTCTCCTCACATAAATTTTTCATCTGATAGGGAAACTCCTACAAATGCATATTCAATAAGGTCAGGCGCAAAAATAACTGTGTCCACGCCTTTTCAGCGCTAAATCTTCACTGTGCGTCTTTAGTATATCCTATTATAGTACTATTATTACTAATAGTACTATTTTAATGGCAAAAGAAAATTATTTAAAAATTAATATATTTTTAAATAATTATACCTGATATTTTCATGTCCCCCAAACATATCAAATTAAATTAGATTTTTGAAAATAAAAACATAATCCATAAAAGAAGTGTGTGTTGATTCAATGAGAATTAATTTTTTTTTGTATTTTTGAAGAAATTAGAAAACATAAATACATAATACATTAAAATGTTACATAAAAACACATGAAAATGAGCATTGTGCCATTGACCCTTATATACCATCCTTGCTTAAAAAGTGTCCACATGTGTCCATAGAAGAATCGCCAGGACTGGAAGCCGGAGATCCGCCTGCCCAACGGCAGCGAGTACGTTGTTCTGCGAGGTCTGGACTGGAACACGGAGTACGAGGTCAATATCATTGCCGAAAACCAGCGAGGACGATCTGAACCTGGCAAACTCTCTTTCAGGACCTTGCCAGAACCCACCGCCATCCCAGGTACAGCCCACCCCCTAACCCTGAAGCACAGCCACTGCCAGCCAGAGCGGCCAACAGCCCGACCGCCTCAACCCAACCCCTGTTAACCCCATCCTACTAGCAGGTCTTGTTGTGGATTACACAGGCCACCCTTGTGTCAATTCAGGTTGTGGCCTGGCCTCCCTCTAGAGAGTAATTTGACACAATCTAAGAGTAATAAGAGTGCAGAGTGCTAAATGTCTGTGAGAAGTGGCCACAGGTGAAGACTGGAGACCTTCAGCTCCTCTCCAGAGCACTGACCCCTCCGGCAACCTCCCCCTGATTCTTGCAGCTGGCTTTATTGCTCGTCTTGGAGCGATTGCAGATGATATCAGCGGAGATGAGATTTTCTATTTGGCACTCGGGAGGCAAAAAGCCACAGCAGGTCCGTTAAACCATCCACCCCCTCCAACACGGGCTCGTTTGGTCTGTGCTCCATTGGCAGTGCTGTGTTTTTGTTTTCTTGCGAGCTGCTTCCCCACTGATAAAAATTGGCCCTTAGATCATCCCTCTCTCTATTTCCTCGGTCTCTTTCTCGAGGCTGAACTGAGGCTCAGTTCAGGCTCATTGCGGCAGACCGATTGAATTGGGCTGACTATCTGCCTGCTCTCAGTGGGGATGCATCCTCTGGTTTTGCATGATGACGCCTCAACAGGATTAATGGTTTAATGCTTTACTGAGGACCTAACAGGCATCTGCCGGTGCATGGCCAAGAGACCTGCTTTTTCTCATCCGCTTAGTGGGAAGCAGCCATATAGCAGTGGGAGCTTTGGATCTCGGCAGATTCAGATGGATAGAAATGTCCCTTTTCCCATCTCGCCACACTTACACATTGCAGAGTTGTTAACCTCAATGTGTAACATGTGGGAGTTCAAAAAAAGCTTTATTTTAGCGCAACATCTGCATTGCATCAGCTGGAGCAGCTGCTGTTAGAAACGATGGTCCAAAAACTGCTGCTCAGACAGCGATTCACGCTTCTCTAGAATCTTATATTCGGACCAGCGTGTGGGAGATGGGTTAGAAACCCTTAAAACTGTCTGGACACTATTATTATCACAAGACATATCCCTTCAGCTTGCAGATGGTCAACACGTCGAGTTTGGCAGGAATTAAAATAGGGAGCCAGTGGATTTCCGTGCGTGGTACGGGTAACTGGTCGAGCTCAGCCCTGGCCGCGCGACAAATGCTAAAGCTCTACTTCCTGTAATCCAAATCTCCCCGGCTACAGTTGACATGGAATAAAAGCTGTTCTAATACAATGCCCATTAACGTTTGTGCAGTTTAAGTAACATCGGAAAAATCATTCAGTCATCCAGCTCATTATTACACCGTATTGCATCATAACCTGTTTGTTTTCGCCTTGTCTTTTGACTGGGCAACATTTTCCCTGGTGTTTGAGACATAGAAATATGAAAGCCTATTTGTTTCCTAATTTCCTGTAGAATGTTTTTCTTGATCTGAATTAATTATAAGTAATTTAAATGCAGTTTTCTGGAAGCACTTGTTTAAAGCTGATGTGTGTATTTTTTATTTAATAATATTTCATTTTAAAAATCTCTGCGCAGTAGAAACAATTATAAATAAGCCACTTGTAGATGAAATTCTCCAAAAAATTTAAACACTGTCTCTGTGACCATTGGCTTTGGGATGGGACTATCTATTTGACAGAGCAATTGCAGTTCAATTACACTTTTTGTTATTAATGCTGCAATACAGTTTTAGAGGAAATCGCACACTTCACCTTTAAAGGGAGGGGGGATATGTAAGATTTATCAAAACTGCCTGCAAAGTATATACGCAATGTCAAATACCAGGAAAGTTGCCTGATCCGTGTTTCTTGATTGTCCGTGTCTTCGTGTCCTTATCATTCCATATTTCCCATCATTTGACTATCGTTGTCCTTTCATTCTCGACTTGCTGTCATTGCTGTGCTTTTAACATGCTACCGCCTTCTTACTTTGGTTTTTACTAACTTGCTTGAACTTTCCTTTGATTAAACTTAATTTTCTGTATTTGACCTATTCTCTGTCTCTCTCTCTTTTTTCTCTCTCCCTTTCTCCCAATTTCTTTCCCTGTTTTTTCCTTCCCTCCTTCTTTCCCTTTTTCTGTCTCTATGTGTAAAATCGGACATCACCGGATCACCGCATTTTCAAACACGCTCTCAAAACTTTATTTTTTCCCCATTTTTGCCTCTATTTTTTTTTCTGTGCACTGTCCATGTGGTCTTCGGGTGTCTTTTTTTGGTGTGGTGGTGTGGGATGTGTGGTCTCAGCAACCCTTGGCTGCTCCTCTGTGACGTACGCTCTCGTCACTCTCATGTTCTCCATGCTGACTGTGCTAGTGCTCTCATAAACTGGGGCTCACCAGAGGAGAGGAGCCCCGTCCACTCTTCAACCACACCCTTCAGTTTTCTACGCCTTTCTGATCCTCTCGCAGGCTAAACAAACAAACAAACAAACAAAAAAGAATATCAGTTACATGTATTGGAATTAAGCAGAGTGTTCGGTGCTTGTATCATTCTGTTTTCTTTTTTGTTTCTTGTCATTTTTAGTTTCTTATTCATGTTATGTTTAAGCAAGGCAACGTTGATGTGTTTGAAAAGATGTTTTTCAAACCATGGACTTTTTGGGAGTGTTGTAGAAAATCTTTCCCTATCAAGATGCCTGATATTAATCTTGATATAATTATTCTAGGGCCCATTTAGGAGATAAAAAGTCCTTATTTTCATTACCTTCATTAATTTTAAGTTTCTTATTATTTTGTTATTGTTGTTATTATTATTAAGATATTAACTAATTTGGAAGGGTGTTTTTAAGGAATAGGCACCAAGTTTGTGTGTTGATATGGAAAATGTGTTTTTTTGTGACAAAATGTACATAATTTTAGAAGATTCAGAAAATATATACTTTCTGTAATGGACTTTTATTTACATTTTCTTTTCTCTGCTTCTTACTTGAAAAGACCATTCAAAACTAATGCTACTGCAGTTAAACTCATTCACGTCAATAAGTGTCATTTTCAAAAGTGTAATTTAATTATGTTCTGTAATACATTTTTTTGTATACACGTACCAGTATGGTGTCATGCAGTAATCATTGTAGGTTTTAAGAAAATACAGTAAGCTAGATGGATTTTTTTGTTTATTTTGTGTTTTTAACAAACGCAACATGGATTCGAGTCGAAATCTCGCCGCAGCGAGTTGCATGGGACCGTAATACGTGGCCGTTTCATGTCTGTCCCATGATTACATGGTGCTCAATGTCGGTTTGGAGGGACCCACGGAGCCTTTTACTTTTAAAGGGCTGGAGTGTTCTGCAGTACTTCTGATTGACCATCTCTACTCTGAAATGCTAAATTCCTTAAGGCTGTTTTTTCTTGCTTAGACAGGATTTAACATAAACACCCCCCAGACTGAATTTTAATGCGAAACCCACAAGCGTTCTTGTGTGCATGGCACCGCCTCCGTTGTAACTGTATAAATCAATTTTGAACATTAGCGATGGACAGATACAGGTATGGACGTCGACTGACCTCCAGCCGGCTGTCCGTATTAAAGAAGATGGTGGTCAGTTTACATGTCCGAGGCTGCCGTATGCCATCGAGAACGGAGATACGAGTGTCATTATTATGCAAGACCTATGCAGGCATTTCTTAGGAGGGTGTCGTGTAAAGTGCAACTAATGTAATTAAGTGTCTTACAGTATAAAAGCTCATATACAGTATATGGCAGGGTTATGGAAATAAATGGGGGAGTGAATGGGGGTCGTTTGTTCAATAAAATGGAGTAGCATTTGTTTCCCATTTTGGAATGGATTCTCATGGTAATAAAGTGATGCGCCCTGGAGTTTTGACTCCTGGAAACGCATGTGCCAATCAGTTTGTCGGGCTCATCATTCATATGCAGGTGCATCTCTGTCCTTAATCATTGTGTGTTGGTGCTAGGTGACATTTCATCAGAAAAGCAGCACCTCGTTTGGTCCGTCTGGGAAGCTTAATGCCACTCCGGATGGATCATCAGCTTCATTCAGACTAGCAGAACCAGAGGCAAAATGACTTGAGAATCCAAACTTGGCACCGGCAGAAGTGCCACTTGTTCACACTTATCACTGAGAGTGACTGGAGACGGAGGCAAGTGCCAAGTCTGGAGGTGTCTCAATAACCTGAGAGTCTTCAGAACAGACTGAACATTTGTAATGACCGTGCCGTGAAGGTTAAAATGGGCTGTTAGCAAAAAGTCACATTTAGCAGATGCCTCTGGAGCATTTAAACAGGATTCTGGTGAACTGTTGTAGATTTTTACAAATTGTTATAACACCTGCAGTTTGATTTTGATCCTGCAGTAGCTTTATTTAAAACATTTATATGTAATATTCAACACAGGGGTTAAAGTTTGACTGGTTAGCATTAGCTAGCTGCTAGCCCCTGCCATAACCTCATTCTGAGGACATAAAACCTGCTTTTACATTGATGGCTATGCAAAATTAACCACAAATTAATTTGCTAGTATGTCTATTACATAGATTGCTGCAGCTAAACGACAAAACTAGGAAGACTAATTCACCAAGAGTTTTTCCTACACTCTTAAAAGTAAAGGTGCTTCACGATGCCATAGAAGAACCTTTTTGTCTAAATGGTTCCATAAAGAACCTTTAACATCTGAAGAACCTTTCTGTTTCCCAAAAGGTTCTTTGTGGCAAAAGAAGGTTCTTCAGATTATACAAAGGTAAGAAAGAGATGGTTCTTTAAAGAACCTTTGACTGAATGGTTCTTTGTGGAACCAAAAATGGTTCTTCTATGGCATCGCTTGAAGAACCTTTTGAAGCACCTTTATTTTTAAGAGTGTAAACATAACTTGACAATACCTGGATGATTTGTTGTACAACATGATTTAAAAAATAAATAAGTGTTGTCAATTTACATTTACCACGGACCTTGTTTTACTCATAAATTGAAAAAAAAAAAAACATTCTCTAGGGAACCCATAGTAAATTAGTCTTCTGAGTTTTGACATCACTGCTGCAGCTCTCTAAATGTACATGCTGTTACAAGTCACATTTACAACTCAAGTAATTTGCTTGAAAAGTGTGTCCAGAACTGAATACCTACTGTATGAACAAAGACGGCAGTATACATGTACTTCCAGGTGCATTGCCATGGGAATGCTAACAGCTAATTCTGTCCATGTATTCCAGACTGCCTTGTTTCAACCTAACACTCAAATATAACATGCACCACATTGTCAGTTTTTTCACATCAATTTTCAGTATTCAGAACATGATAAGGTTTGTAATATGTGTCTGGAAGACCTTTCAAGCACGCTGCTGAGTCAGCAGAGCAGGGTGTTTTTGGCCGGTGAAGGAGCTCAGTGAGACAGCCTTTGTGCTCAGATGTGTGCCGTGATTTATCGCACTTGTTAAAATGCAGGCTGAAGCTCAGGAAAACAAGTGCAGCCCACTCTGCGCCCCAAGCTAAGAGAAGCGCTCTCAGCCCTCTCCTGGCTGGCCGCTAGATTAAATCTGTCAGCTCTACCTCCCACTACCCAGCCTCTTATACACATCCATGGAGTGTGTTGACTGCTACGATGGCTAGATTTCATCACAAAGTCCACAGCACCAGATTACTTATCATACAGGTTTCTTGGTTTAAATTCATAATACGTTTTGGATTATTGTTGGTCTATTGCAAGTCTTGCGCACAGTATTCTGATAGCAGTAAGACTCGTGTGGAGCTGCAGGTTGAGATGAGGTGTTATTTTTTTCTTAGAATAGTTTTATCTAATGCATTTTTCCTCGAGGTCTCTGTTGAGTGCATCCATAATTCATGATCTCCTTGATACACATAGATGTGTTTTAGGTCTTTATGTGGCTCCATCAATGATTTAGAAGGACGTTTCATTAGAGACACTTCATGTGAAGTTGCTTAGAACTCGATATAAGCCTAATTGCAAATTCAGTCAGCTTGTTCATCTTAATTCACGGTATAATCTATGGCTGTGTACTCACAAGAATACTTGAATGAACTACCAATTGAGTGTTAGGATAACAATAAACTATGTTAACATATTTTTTTGCAGCCAACATATCATCAAAAGCTGTGTGCACCCAGATGCACCCAGAATATGATGTCTCAGTATACTGTATATATATATATATATAATAATCATAATCACTGTGTTTTTGTATTACATTTTTTGTATTCTGACAACTTAAAAAAGTCATCATCCCACAACAGAATCAAATATTTCAGCATAGATTCATATAATTTGAGTTAATATGAATTGCCATGTTTACCGATGCAGCATTAAGATCCATTTGGATCATGTTTATTAAACCACATTTTAATTGTGCATTATGTTTACTGATCCAGACCATGCCCATCCGTCTCAGTAGATCCTGTAGTTATTTAGCATTTTCATGGTGTAGCTTGTCATTCCTGGTAAGTAGTCTGTGTTTTCAAGAGCTGAAAACACAGTTCTGCTTGTGTTTCTCCGTCTCGTTTAATCCTTGTTCCTTTAACATGGTGTTTTCCTTTATTTTCATCAGTATGGCTTCCGTTTGTGTTTTGTGTGTGTGTTTATGCAGAAGTTACCCCATAAGTGAATGCACTAAGAGCTGAATATTGAGATTATCTTCACCGTTCCATGCCAGTGCAATTTCTCTGTTAAAATATGTGCATGAATACGAACAGAACAAGCCTTGTAGTTAACGTTCTGAGCAAGACTGCTGAAGTTCTGTACAAAGAGAGTTAATTATGTCTCTGAATAAGCATGCTGGGTTCATTTCCATGTGAGTGATGAATGCCCTGCTTCAGAATGACGCTGTATGTGATGCTATGTTGTATACTGTGTGTGGATAACACTTGAAACACATCCCATTTTGGCAATCTGTGTGGTGAACCTAAACATAATGGGGGTGAATTCACTAAGAATCAACTGATGACAAGTTTATTTGCACACGATTGTTGTTTTAGAAATTCTGACGATGCAAATAATTAATGAATCTGCGTAACTCCTGATCTTGCTATGTTGTGAAGGATATATCAGACAACCATAATCTGGCATACTTTACTGGATTTGTACAGCATGGTTTTAACACTGATCCAGGCACCTCTTTAAAATGTGTAAAATATACTCATCTACACCACGCATTTGGATGTAAGCCGGTTATAACGCTCTTCTCCATCGCTTGATTATCATTTGATAAATTACTGCTGCCACGATTAATAGAAAATGTATGCAAACAAATAAAATTCTGTTAACCGCTCTTGGAAGGCTTGACATTACATTTTGTGAGGTTCAATTCCTAATTTACAAAGAGAGTAGCATTGCACCAAATACAGTATAATGACTTAAAGGGACAGCTCATCCAAAAAATGAACACTCTTTCATCATTTACTCACCCTCATGTCATTTGAAACCAGTATGACTTTCTTAATTCAAGAACAAATAAAAGAAATGTCTCTTCTTTGTCCATAGAATGAATGTAAATGGGATCCAGTGTTGTTTTGCACCTTGTTTGCTTTTATTGTATAGGAAAAAAAATAGTTGAAACATTCTTCTTTTATGCTCCACAGAAGAAAGTAAGTTGCATAAAGGTTTGAAACGACATGAAGGTGAGTAAATGATGACAGAATATTCATTTTTGGGTGAACTGTCCCTTTAATTTAAATACAAAGCAGGGCAATTCAGCGCATCTAGTTCCTGGATTGCTGGTGGTTAGTGAATAAGATGCAGTATGTAAAAGTGCAGTTGTTTAGTGAATTCACCTGTATGTGTTTCTAGGAGTGTGTTGGCTTTAGTCCTAACTGCCTTCAACAAGCCAGTCCTTTCAGCTCACTTCAAATTAGTACAACATACAAAATAGACTGTAATTTTTTCTAGACTGCAAAAAAGCCTCACACTTTAAGGCCTGGTCTGCAGTGACATCATTTTGTTTTGACTTTCTCCTCTTCCTCCTTCCCAAAGAAACCAGCTCAGGTTTGAGCACCGGGGCTATCGTGGGCATCCTCATTGTGGTTTTCATCCTGCTCCTCTTCGGCGTGGATGTCACATGCTACTTCCTCAACAAGTGTGGGCTTCTCATGTGCATCGCCGTCAACTTCTGCGGCAAGTCTGGGCCCTCTGCCAAAGGGAAGGATATCGAGGAGGGAAAAGCCGCTTTCACGTGAGCCTGTCTTTTCCTTTCCCTCTCATCGGTGTGTGTTCCCTTGTCCAGTAACGCCATCCATCACGGCTCTCCCATCATTATCGCTCCCATCAGCTCTACAAGAGGGCTTGAGGCAGGGCTGATTGTGACATATCTGACTCTATGAATGAGAATGATGTGAATATTGGCTCATGGCGGCTCATGTTGAGATAAGAGGAGAGGAGGAGAGGTGCATGCTGGTTAGGAATGAAAAGGAGGCTCATTTGCATCTGTTTTAGTAGCCTTTGAAAATGCTATGCAAAGAGAACCTTTTCTTTTTTATCTAGCAAGTTATCCATATTTTGATGTAATTTTATTGCACTGAAGGGCTCAACAATATCGTTTTTGATAATGATAGTTATTTATAGCACCATATTGTCATGAATGTCAGAAAACAGTGTATTCTAAATATATTTATATTTTGTCATGCACAAATATACAAATATGTGTACTTGATCTGACAACAGTTTTACAAATAAAGCAATTTTGACATCATATTTTTTGTCAGATTAAAATATTTATATTTTATGAAAACTGCCAATGTTTTCAGTTCACAAATATGATAGATATAAAAATATAGTGCTAAACTATTGTCTGTGTGCCCTGTAAACAGCTATTATCATATGTCCAAAGAAAATAAACTTAAAGTTGTTATGAAATGTAATTTTTTCTTTACTTTACTTGTTTTACATCAATTTTAAATAAATATGACATTAACCTTATTTAGCATTATATTCAAAATATGTATTATATTGTTTCTGTTTTTGTTTTGTTTTTGTCACACTTTATTTTATGGTCCAATTCTCGGTTATGCAGAATTGGTCCCTATACTAAAGTGTTACCTTTTTTTCTTTAATTGAACTGCCAACAGTTTCACAAATATAATAAATGTAAAAATATGGTGTCAGAATATGTATCTCAGAATTAAATAAATGTACCTTTTTCTGTTACCTTACCTTTATTTTACAAAAATGTTGCATTTTAAATAAATCTGACAATAGCCTTTTTTGCACCATATGTTTTAAACAAAAAAAAGAAGCAAATTTTCGCTTACATTTCTTACTTTAATACCATAACAGCTATAAATTAATACAAACACACTTTTGCCAGAAAAGTACGCCATATGGTGCAAGACATACCAATTTGTTTATAATCGTTAAGCCGTTTTAAACAGTGCTGCTAATTTGAACAAATCCTGACCTATGTTAGCCAACAATGTTCACTACATGTTTGCAAGCCATAAATCCACACCCCTTTGACGTTTGTTAATCTCGGTAACTGGTGTGTCATTTTTTACAGGAAGGATGAATCTAAGGAGCCCATTGTGGAGGTAAGGACTGAGGAGGAACACACACCAAACCATGAAGGAGGAGGACCCACCGAACCCAATGAGACCACCCCTCTGACCGACCCTGAGTGAGTCCCTAAAAACACACACACATGGTCCAAAACACAAAAACCTGGTCTTTTTTTCAGGCTATTAACATCTACTTGTGTTTAACAGTCTCTCTGTTGTAGTTTAATGGTGTAGATGCCACACTCCCCTCACTTTTTGTGATTACTGTACCTAACATGGTATGTTTTATTTTGAAATGCATGTTGGACTTACTGATGTATGTGTATGTTTTGCCTTGGCCTTCCCTCCCTCCCCCTCCTTTTTCTTTGTGTGGATCTCCTTCCCCCCGTCTCTCCTTTCTCTCTCTCTCTCTCTCTCTCTCTCTCTCTCTCTCTCTCTCTCGCTCTTCCCGCTGTCCTCACAGGCACGCTGCTGACACCACAGCAACAGTAGTGGACTTGCTTCCCTCTGTAACCACTAACTCAGACCCCGGCACTGACAGTCCTGCTAGCGATAGCACCACCCTTACCTCAAGCACCGCCCCTGTGGCTGACCCTAAAACGGCCCCAAAAGTTACCCCCCAATCCAGCACCCCCAAACCTAGCGTCACCTCTCCCACCTCCCCACAAGCTGCTCCTACAGCCGTGGCCCCTCTGGTGGACCTGAGCGATACGCCCCACAACCAGACCTCAAAGTCCTTAGATGCCCCCCAGCCGTCTGATTCAACCCCTGCAGATCTGGCCAAAGCCGATGGCCAAAGCCCGGCTGAGCCGGCCAATGCCCCCCAAAGTAAGGACTCTCAGGTACAGGGAGGAGCTCACCAGACCACAGATAGTGACCTTGCCAAGGATGTGCTGGCCAAGCCCTCCAGTGACTCCTCCAGCACACCGTCCGCACCCAACCAGGACGAGTATGGCCACCTCTAGATGTCTAGTTGTGTTTGTGTCCATAACCATCTCCACTTTCTCACTGTCTGTTTTCTTCGTCACCCCCCTTCCTCTTCAGTTTCTTCTCACTTCTTAATGTAAAACCCGAATTTTATCAGGTTCCTCCTGCATCTTCAATCTTAGCGTATTCCCTTTGGTATTCAAATGAGAGATGACTTGGTGTGCTGAGACAGCTTGTGCGGGTTTATTTGCACCTTTGTAAAAACCAGTTCAATGGCGGCGCTTCAAAGCACACCGGCATTATAAATGTGTAAAATTGTTCTTTCGGTTTTGTTTTTCGAAGCGAGCTAATTGATTTCTCCATTATCGCTGGCAGAGCCTCACAATGATTGGTTGTCACAAATGGCACAATTCCACAGCTGATGATTTTAAATGATGGCTTTCAAAGCTGAAAAGGACAGTGAGAAATAAATTAGCAGCCTTAATGGTGCTATTGAAAAAAAGAGCGTCTTAGAGAAGGCTAATGTATGATCGTTGTAATTACATTAACACAGCGGATGAGGTGCGGTGTCATTTGTGCCCCTGTGGGTGAAATGGCCAACTTCAAATGACCAGCTGATGGAATGAAAAACTTGGAAAAAACAGCAGTGAAAAAAAATTATTCATTAGTCATTACAGTCATTAAAGATGTGCTACGGACGTAAAATAAAAACAGCTCTGCATCTAACTTGCAGATTTTATGTCTCAACCAGTGATAGATAGGACAGAAATACATACCGTACCTTTAAATATCTATATATTTATATATCTATATATCTATAAAATTACAATATGAATGTAATTATAGAGAAAATGACTTACATTTTTAGATTTTACATTATGCCGGATGGTCTGGTTTAATAATAATCTTCCTATTGGTTCATTCAGTCTAAAAGAATCACTCAGTTTGACAGGAAAAATACATCTGATTGTCATGTAAATAACCATCACAGTTCAATTTAGTTCACTTCTATATGATGTTTAGGAGCAGATACATTGCTGTTCAAAAGATACTGGAAAATGTATTATAGTTTCCACAAAATACTAGCATTGATAATAATAAGAAATGTTTCTTGAGCAGCATATCAGCATATTAGTATGATTTCTGAAGGATAACGTGACACTGAAATCCAGCTTTGCCGTCACAGTAATAAATTACATTTAAAATATATTCAAATAGAAAACAGTTATTAAATTGTAATAATATACTGTTTTTACTGTATTTTTATCAAATAAATGCAGGCTTTGTGAACATAAGAGACTTTCAAAAGCATCATACTGACCCCAACCTTTACAGAACTTTACCAAACTTTGTTACTGAAAATAATGTCTCTGTGAAACATTGTGAAGACAACACAATTTAAATTAAAGTATTTTTAGTTGATCCAAATGACCTCAAACACATCTCTTGAATATATTCCTAAAATTCTCTGCCATGAACTTTGCAAACTTGAGCAAAACCAGCCAGGACTTGTTCTCCATCTGACACAAGATTTGAGTGGATTTGGTCCATGGCTCTAAATCATTAATGTGCCAGAGATGCCAGAATGATAGTAGCTGCAATTATTTTACAGCACATTTTATTGTTCACAAGCACTATGCAAATGTTGTTGTGAAATTGAACTAAAGCTAGTGAAAATTTCAGCTAGAATGTGCAAAATATACATAAATTAAATAAGCCTGTTCCTTAGTCACTGGAGCCATGCTGAGAGCACCGGAGCAGCGCCTCAGAATAGCAGCGGTTTCATTCATTCAAGGGTGCATATTACAAAATTAAACGAACATTTCACATCTGACAGATTCAGTCCTGCTAGCTTTGTGGAGCTGCCTAATGGAGCCAGAAGTAGCGGCGTCTCCAGACTCACTCCTCGCTCTGTTGCGAAGTACAGAGAAAATCGGCTGTTAAACAGTCAGCCAAGACTTCCAGCAGGGAATTAGCGGGAGCATGGCGTTTGTTAAATATTTACCAGAGACTTTGTTTTCCCCACTTCCATTTGTGCTCTGTAGTGTGCGCTTTCTATGTACAGCCCAGTCAGCGCACGTCAGGCTTGTTCTCTTTCTCTCAGTTCAGCTCAGTTGTCTAATTTGAGCAGGAACACTCCAGGGAAGTTGCCCTCATTGGTTGCCACCTGGGCTTATTGGCTCCGTCTATAGATTTTCGACTACCTGAGTGACTTCCCTGATCTTCACAGAACCAGCAGAATATCAATGGAACCCACTCTGCCATCTTTACACTCTCAAGATGCCTAAAGTCGAGTTTTTTCTCCTACAAGAAGGAGAGTTTGTACTTTTAAAGACATCTCGCCAAGGATGCAAACTGACAAACGATGGAAGGTTTTCTTGCTGAAGCCTCAGTTTGCTCAGAAGGAATAATGATGCTTTGTGTCCAGTGGCGGATCTAGAGTTTTATACATGGGGTGGCCAAGGCTAGACCATGGAAGAAAACCAGTGTATAACTCCAAACTGGCATAAAAAAAGCATGAATAAATCCTATGATTGCTGATTAATTCACATTCAACATACCGTGACTTCAAATGTTAGTCTATTGAAATAAGACTATTGGTTAGTCTTATTTCTATCATCTCATTAACCAGTGGTTTGAAGCAAACAATCTAACATTAACTTGTAGGCTACAGTGAATTTTGTTAATGTTGCTCAAGAAAACTAAAACTTCAACTTACTTAAAACAGGGCTGCCAACTTTTGAGTTCAGCCTGGAGTGAGAATTATTCAGGAATAATTAACAAGCTTGCGATTAAGTGTTATTTTTTCTCAATTTTTCTAAACTAAAGTATACAGGGAAAAAAGTAATTGATTTGTGTACAAGTTTATATTAGACAGTTTTTTTATAATAACCTTACATCTATACATTTTATTAATTATAATTAAAAGAGCAATTATGAGTAAATATATAGCTAATAAATGTAATTTGTTGCTAAATTCTCCTCTTTAGTGTGCATTTTTCTGAACTTACTTAAAACAGGGCTGCCAACTTTTGAGTTCAGCCTGGAGTGAGAATTATTCAGGAATAATTAACAAGCTTGCGATTAAGTGTTATTTTTTCTCAATTTTTCTAAACTAAAGTATACAGGGAAAAAAGTAATTGATTTGTGTACAAGTTCATTAGACAGTTATTTTATAATAACCTTACATCTATACATTTTATTAATTATAATTAAAAGAGCAATTATGAGTAAATATATAGCTAATAAATGTAATTTGTTGCTAAATTCTCCTCTTTAGTGTGCATTTTTCTCACTAGTTTATGGACACAGAATGGATTTTCTGCTGTTATGTGACAATGTATTCTAGCTGCGGTCTTTCTGCGGTTGAAACGTTAATTGGATGATTACATGAGACTATACATTCAATAAGTTGTATTGTATCTTTCAACATGGATCGGATGTTCATTCAATGTTTATTTCATGCTAATTAGAATGCACTCCTCCTCCTTCGCTTTAACTTATGGGAGCATGCATGAACTATCACGCCACTAAAGAGCTCCAAAATTGAATTTATCGTTTGAAATCCTTTATAAGCTAACAGAATTTGAATGCTGAGACTTTGTTTCCTATTATCAAAAGTGACCTGCTCTGTCTTGTCTGTCAACTCGTTGTCTGTGTCCTCTCTGCTCTGCGATGTTTTTCACTCTGTAAGAAAATGAACGTGTGGCGCGAGTGTGCGTATGTGAGAGGCTGGAAATAGACGAGAAGAAGCGCGATGCACAACGCCAGATGTGTCGCATCCTTGAGTTCGAGGCTAAAATAAATGCTTCTTTCAGTACGATTAAACAAAGAAAATGAAATAGTAGCATGTGCCACCCTGGACACCCCTGTGGCTCCGCCACTGTTTGTGTCTGTCGCAGTCGTTCGGCTGTACTCTGCACACTTGGCTGCTCTTCATAAGAGCCCAGAATGTGATCAGATAGCTTTATTGTGATGAGTGTAATGACATTCGGCCGTGGGACAAACAGCTCAGACCTCGGACACCGACAAAGAAGCTTGCTCTTGTGTCGTACCACTGAGATCGTGTAGATTGTAACACGAGACGCCCTCACTCCACTACTCCCATTCTCTTCCCTACAAAGCCTCTCTGTGGATCTGCCGTATGCAAAAGCACTCAACACCGCCACCGGTGGTCCTGCGTCACGGCGTAGAAGCCGTTGCTGTCTGGGCATGTTTGACGAATATAATGAACAGTCATTCACAGCTGATATCACCCTGGCAGCAAGGCAGGTGTGCTAAAAATACGACAGAAGGGAACGTGTCAGAAATGCGACAGGGACCGTCCCTCTCGATTCCCTGCCAGCAAAGCTCATCTTTAATTTTCGTGGTTCATTATGCATTTATGAATGATTTGGCACACCAGTACAGTCAATTCCATTACAGGAATTATCAGCGCTCCGAAAGAATCAGCCTACTGCGAAATAATTTAAGTAAACGTCCTTTTATCAAGACCCACTATGTGCTCTGTCAGCTCCCTTGAGAACAAATGTCTGTGTGCCCTGTAAAATATTCAGTAATAGGCCGTTTGCGGCAGATGATTTTCATTTATTTATGATTTATTATTTATTATTATGCTTTTTGCTCCAGACCGACCCCAAGAGACAAGCACTCTGTGTATCAACAAACTATTACACAGCCAATAAGCGCAGAGGGAGAGGTTAACATTTATGTAGTTTTATGAGGATTGTGTCTGCAGCAGATAGGCTCTCTGCACCAGTGCCATGGATTTACTATTCACAGCAAGCTTTATCTTGAATATTATAAATTATATGAATCATACCTGCATGCACTGTTCCTCTGTCCTCATACATGCTCATGCTCATGAATAATCTTTGATGTAACCGTGAGATAACCAAACAGATCCTGTTAGCTGTGAAATTGATTGGCTATAGTGAAGTCTGTTCCTTCAAAAATTAAAGGGACAGTTCACCCAAAAATGTGTTATCATATTTTCTTCCTCATGTCATTACAAACCTATAGTGCTTTATTTCTTTTGTGGAAACATGACAGAAGACATTTTTAATAATGTATTGACCGCTCTTTTCTGTATATGTGTGTGTGTGTGTGTGTGTATATATATATATATTTTATTTTATTTTTTTAATATAAAGAAATTAATACGTTTTAGTATTAAAAGGTGGCATTAAAGCCATTAGTAATGTTACAAAATATTTATATTTCAAATAAAAGTTGTTCTTTTGAACTTTTCTACTTATTAAAGAATTCTGGGGGGAAAAATGTGTTAACATTGATAATAATTAGAAATGTTTCTTTAGCATCAATTCAGTATATTAAAATAATTTCTGAAGGATCATGGACATTAAAGACTGGAAATATTTTTTTAAATACATTAAAATGGAAAACAGATATTTTAAATTGTAACAATTTTTCATAAAATTACTGTTTTACTATATTTTTGATCATATAAATTCTTTGTCTGCAACAAGATCTGACTTGAATCATACCATCGCAAATCCAGACATTGTTACGTCCCTCATGAACGTACCAAAGAAAACTAAGGCTGATATAAATTTTTTGTCACATATGAAGACTTTGACAATGACTCATGTGAACCACTTTTATGATCATTATATGGTGTTTCTTTGTCATTTGTGGAGCATTGAGCACCAGTCTTCATTCACTTTCATTATATTAAAAAGAATGCCTAGCATATTCTTCAGTTTCGCCAAACCCCATCTTTTGTGTTCCACTGAAGAAAGAAAGAAACTCGCACAGGTATGACAGAACATGAGGGTGAATAAATCATAACAGCACAGTCATTTTTGGGTGAGCCGATCCTTGGAAATAATATAAAGAGCAGAAGCAGCCAAACAGAGGACTGAAAGACACTGCTGATAAACTTCTCTTTTCTCTTTCCCCCAGTGGTAAAATCGTTGTAGATGACAAAAGTAAAGCGCCGGAGACGGAGGTAAACAACACCCCGGCGGAGGTGAAGACAGTCCCTAATGAAGCCCCCCAGACGAACGGCAACGAGAGCAAAGCATGATCCGGAATCGGCGAGCGCAGACAGACAGCACCACACCACCACCATCACATCTCAAACACAAGGGTCTCTTTCTTCAGTGTCTTTGAGTTTGCAGAACAAAACACGTCTGTAGATGTATAGAGCGCCTAAAGAGCTCGCACACATGCCTTTTATTTTGTACTTTTCGATCGTTTTTGCTATTGAAATGTTTCATTTCTTTCATCAACACACGAAGGAAAGATTCTTTACCTCTAGCGCAGTCTCCTTGACCTCTGTAAGATCAGTGTCTTTCAAATACACTCGATGTCTTTCGAGGAAGTTCAGTATGAGAAATACAGTAGATTTTGCCTTCACACATTCAGCCCACAGTGCCGTTTCAATTATGTCCCGTTTTATTACATGCAGTATTGCCATTATTATTGTCTGCCACGTATGAATTTTTGGGGAACATTTTTGATGTTTTGTGTTTAAATAATGTACAAAAGCAACTGCCTTTTTATTTTATTTCTCACATAATTTTTTGGGAGTTAGCAATAGATTTTTAGCATGCTTGCTTTGCAGAATTATTTTTATGTGTCTAATTTTTTGTTTGTTTTATCCCAGCCCTAAGTGTTTACAGCATTTTACAATGATATCCCTCATTAACACGCCGTTTGCTTCTCTTGCAAACCTGACACAAACGCTCACGCAGGGTATAGGTCTGAACTAGCGGTTAGGGTTATACTATACAAAACACCACTACTACTTGTTTTTCCCATTTTATATTTTCTTTTCTATTACAACACATCCCATTTCCCTTGGACCTTATGAGTTTCTTCTTTACTTCAGTTCTTTAACCGAAGATTGAGAGTCAAAGAGGTCTCCCGCAGTGATCCTCGCTTAAAAACCTCCCGCAAATCCTTTAAAAAAAACAACCTGGAGCTCTTATGGATCGGACGGCTCGTTGAGAGAATACAGTTCAAGCGTCGCTGTTGCACTCATGGCCTAACGAAAACATCAGGTGCACACGTGTGCGTAACGCTCATGGGACGTCCCATATGATGTCTGCCTGTTGCTCCATTGCCCATATAATTGATAGATGTTGCATTAAAATGAAGCCCTGCCCCTTTGATACTGATAAAAATGCAAATGTTTGTCAGTTTTTCATGTCTTCAATGGGCAAATTATTGTTTTACTAATTATTTAAGCCATAGTACACCGGTGTGGATCGTAGCATAAAGAATATTCAGCCTGACTTTTTTTTGTACAGTGTTTCTCATTCTTTAGGCTGCAAGCTTGTGCACTGTGAATGCGTGAAAACCCTAGTGTGAATACAGTGTGTTCTTTGTACTAGAATTACAAAAGAGTTTCCATAGGTTGTGAAAGCCGTAGCTGTTAGTTTAAACAATGTTCATCACGATAAGAAAAAAAAACAATGACGGCAGCAGAAGTCAAATACGGACACAAAAGGAGTTGGTGCCTTCAATATAACCATCCTCTCGTATGCAGGCCTGCGGTCTGGATGGGCCGCAGTGACGCTACAGTCTCTGTGACAACATACCCCGACGCTGTCAGATGGTCCAGATCTGTAAACTGTGAAAATAATTGTTTTGTTTCTTGATCAAATGTGTCGTCACTTGGTCTTTTGGGTCTGAGGGTGTAAATGGATCGTGGTTTTCTTAAAACTTGAGTTCTTATAATCTTGACAACATGCCTCTATTTAACTGATGCAAAATAAGACGTATATATATATACATATATAAATATATTCACACAGAAAACTGTCTCGATGCATTTCGTCTCATAGGCGCCCGAGGGTTGCCTGCTCACCCGCCATTTAATTACAAAATCTCTTGTTCATCTCGTTTGGTCAAATGCCTTGTCAGTGACATCTATTTTTAAACCTGAAATAAGCATGCAATGTATTCTAAACTAGATGTCATTGGTGTTAAGGTTACGAATTGAATTGCTAAATAACTGAAAATGTCAAAGGCTTGTACATTTATCTGAATGTCAGTGAACTTTTGTCATTCATACGTTCACTGTTGTCACTTTTGCTTTTACAAGACAAACATGAAGTGCTTTCATGGAGGTAACTTTCATTATTAAGTCTTTAAACATTATGCTACTTGAATGTACGTTTGTGTTCTGTTAAGCATTTGTAATGTAGTAATATTAATAATGAAAGTTCTTTTTAAAGTGTTTCCAGCAGGATTCTGGTCTAATAAGCATCTGAGAGGCTTGTAGAAACTGTACCGGGAGGCATACAAGCTCTTATGATCTCTCTGAAAAACAAGCTTTTGATTCATACTGCCATTTAATGTGGGACCAATTTGTTTGTACACAGTTTACCACGCATCCGTGCCATCATGCCACTTTAAGGACAAATGTCTGTTCAAACGATTGTTTCCAAAGCATATAAGGCTCGTCATCTGAGCAGATTAAGCCTGTTTGGGGTTTAATGGTTTCTCTCATCATTTCATTCTCATCTCAGACCTTTATAAGACATCTGTCACTTCATACCATATGAAGTGAGAGGCCCTTCTCACAGCTGTATACAGATTTTTACAGATCAAATGTCACTTCCACTGCCACTGCTGTAAATACTAACCGACAACAAAATCTGACTTCATTCTGTCAAAAAATTCTTGTGTTCAATAAAATGAGAAAAATATTTTCTGTCTCCACTGTATCTTTTCACATGCACATCTGTTCTACACAAGATCTTGGCTGTTGAAACTTCAAGACATAATAAGACACTATCTGCAGTGTTTAAGCTTGTTCTTCTTTTTTTTTTTAAATATATATATATAATACATTTTAACTTGACAGAAGAGGCACTTATAATTTGAAATTTATGTCAACACTTTAGTCATGCAACAGTATTATTTTAGTATTTATATGATTATAGTATTTATTGATATTGTGAATTAGCTTTTATTTTTATATTTTCAGTTTTGAATTTTAGTAATTGTATGTGCTTTTTTCTAGTCATTTCAGTACTTCTGCTTCAACCTTTTATCAAATATTATACAGCTTTGTTTCAATTAATGAATAAAATTTTAATAGCATTAGTTTTAGTTTACAATTGTTTTGGGTAACAATAGCAACACTGCCATGAATTCGTGTGTGTGTGTGTGTGTGTGTGTGTATATAGATAGAGAAGTGTAAAAAAAAATGAAAATTTAGATTTGATTTATTTATTTATTTTTCATGTTTCAGGAATTGTTTTGTTGTTTGTACATTTTACTGTTGTTTTGATTTGTCTCAGAAATAAAAACCTAGAAGCCTAGATGGTTTATTGTCGGGTTTTGTTGACTGCTTATCCCAAATAGTGTGACTTTTACTGGGGCATGTTGTCACAAAGTACAACAGTGTTTAATGTCTTTTTCCTGGGCAACAGTGAAAATGTTTATTAGTTGTTTTTTTATGTAAGTGTCTATACACATATTGGCCATCTGTGCTTGGCCTTGGGATATAACTTATGAAATATTACTATTGTATTCAGGTATACCACAAAAATAAGTTATATATCCCAAATAGTGTGACTTTTACTGGGGCATGTTGTCACAAAGTACAACAGTGTTTAATGTCTTTTTCAGTGAAAATGTTTATTAGTTGTTTTTTTATGTAAGTGTCTATACACATATTGGCCATCTGTGCTTGGCCTTGGGATATAACTTATGAAATATTACTATTGTATTCAGGTATACCACAAAAATAAGTTATGACTATTTTAGAAGATGTTGCAATTCCATTGCATAAGAGAGGCGCGTGCTGCGGACGCGCACCATCAACACCAGATGGCGCACAAGACCACAATCCATATTACGTCGCCTTTGCTACGTTTAGAGACGCTACGGATTCATTCTTGACTTGATAACTGTAGCGTAACTGTGAATTACCTGCTGCCAAAGCAACTCATGATTTGCATTGTGCATTTGGGAAGCCAAATTAAATGTGCCGTATTTCTCAGTCATGACGCTGGTAAGAACCAAAGATCTATTTCTAGTTTTCTCTGATAATCTGGTGACTAAATAAAAATGTAATTTCATGAGGAACAACGCTTTTTATGTATTAGTATTGTGAAATGCAACGGTTCGCGGCTCTTTTGGGTTGCATTGAGCAGCTGCAGTTACACGTTGTTGTCCACTGGGTGGCAGTAAAGCACCGCCTTAAATGATGTGTCGCTGACAGCGGTTGTTGACTCGCAACAGGCCAATGTAGGATAATTAAAAACATACAAAGGCAGTGTTTTGATACATATTTTTCATTTTACCATATTGGAACGACAGATCTTTTTCAACCTTGTAGCCAGAGAAAATGTGACAGCAGAATAATAGGCATTGGATGTAACAGCAGTTTCCTCTGCGGTTAATCCAGAAATCTTATTCAGGTGCTTCCAATTTAAAATCGCTTTGATTAGTGGCCTGTTTATGTAACAGAGAAAGTTTGAGACAAGAGTCCAAGATTCAAAAGAGTTTGTCACAAACGTTTTGCATTTGTCATGCTGTATACTTCGCTATATCAAACAGTTCAGCTTTTATATGTCATTAACAATTTTTACTACTTTGTTTTTCGTTCCTAAGGTACTTGATTTAGCACATGTGCTCACAAATCGAGCTCCTCTGTGACTCATGAGCTTCTGAGTTCCTAAAGGCCTGGTCAACATGGACAAAAGAGCTGGAGAAGATGTTGGAAATGCTGTATATTGTAGGTTTGATCAACACCTCAAATGAGTCCTGGTGACATATTTTGTCTCTTTACTTTTCAGTGATTTGAAAGAGCCTAAATTAACGCCATATAAAATATATCATTATATAACGTTTTGTTTTATTATACATTTGCATTTGATTAAATAGGCTAATATGATATATAGTTTGACTGTTTATTATAATACATTTTTTAATGATCAGAATTTGCAGAAAAATGTACTTTAGTCTGATTAATAAAGTTTTCAGATGTTCCTGGAAAATTAATCTATTTTGAGAATTTGTTCATAAATGGCCATTGCTTTATATATGAATAAAGTAAAATGCAAAGTCGTTGTACTGATTAAGAATTCAATGAAAAAGCCTAGAAGTCAACATATTTTCAGAATGACTCGCATCTGAATTTGAGTTGGATTTTAAAGCTGGGTTAATTACCATTAACCTATGTAAATGATCCTGGCAGGTTCCACTGAATGTTGTATTATGGAAGCAGACTCCACGGGGAGCAGAGACCCCATCGATCAGGTACTGATCTGTGTGTCTGAAACCTGCACAGGTTGTCACTACCTAAATCACCAGTGCAATAATAGCCTTTGGGTATTTGCAATGGAAGTGTGGGGCTTCAGAGCTCATATCTGAGACCTGTTCATATCCAGAGGAGGCAGATGAAACCTTTTTTTTTTTTTTAAAGAGTTTATAGATTCCCTCCGATTCTGTATGTATTTCACATGGTGTAAATCAAAGCAGGTTAAAGTTACATAGTTCGGAACAACCTATTCTGGAAGAACTTGTTTGAAGTGAGGCAGGCTTATGTTACAGCAGCTCTTCTGGTCCTGGGTCACCACTGGGTCATGGAATTACTAAACCTTTGCTTTAACCATTAATTCTGATGAAACCATTTTCAATTAGAAAGATTTCTATCAATATTCTCTCATTAAACAATAGTCATGCATATTTTGTATATGATGTTTTATTGCCCTTACTTTGATTTGCAAATTGATTTGACAAATTATAAATGATTTAACTAAGCTTTACAAATGATTGCACAAAGAAACCTATACAATGAATGTGCTTTCCCGCATGCCAGCTGAAACCCTTGAGCTACTCATAAATCAATATACCAGCTTGTTGCCATCCTACATAAACATGTACAAACATTTTATATTTATCCGTCATTTGCAACAGCTTAAACAAGCTCTGCTTTCTGCTTTAGTGTAGTTGATTATAGTGTATTTTATTATTTATTTTTTTATCAGTGTCAGGGATTTTATAGTTAACAAACTATACCAGCTTGTAATTCTTATTTATGTATGTCGTATTTTACCACAATTTATTTCCATTTTTACTTTCAGTTATTTCCCCACAGCTTTCCTGTTAGTCACATGCTTTGCTGGGAAATAAACCTCCAAATCTCACAATGCTCCGCTGCTACCTGGCCCGTACAAGTCCTTCTTGTTCTCACAGAAGAATGCTGTTGTCCCATCAGATTAAGCAGAAGAGAAGCGGCATAGTAGCCTGTCCCGTCCCTCTCTGGCAGCCGGCAGACAAGATTATGTAATGCTGGTCCCTCAAACGATGTGGCAATTGCCAAACACATGGCATATGGTCTATCAAAAGGCTGATTTTAAGATTTCCTGTTTAGATGCACTCGCTCTAAACTTCTCAAGATGTTGATGCAATGAAAAAAAAAAAAAGTGGCTTTCGAACATTGATTTTGGTTGAATCCGCTACCATATGGTTTAATGTGGCTTTCTTCTGGACAGAGGCCATCCGGGAAAACATTGGCATCACTTTTATCTCACTCTCTCTTTCTTCTTCAATAACAGCCAACACATAGCAGCAGATTAGAGGCCCTCATAGTCCTCCCAACCCCCGGCACATAACAATGGTGTTAGCTGGGGCCATACAGCTGGTCCGGTCCTGGGTGGATCTCACACAGAGCCTCAATCTGCTTCCTGTTACTAGAATTATACTGTAAACACTTGTTGTTTATGCCTGGAAAGGATAAATCTGACGGTTGATCAAATCGACATTTGGATGGTTATCACTCATTTACATAACACGGTAGAAATTGGAGCGACCGGGCCTTGTTTAAACTGATTAGACAGGATTGAATAACATTTTTAAATGACATATTTTAGTTCGACCTATGTGTTGGAAGTGCTCTGCTAGTTGCTTTGGAGTTTTCTGTTTGGTTTTGACTGCCTGCCCAGGCCCATGCTGTGAAAGCCAATGTGCATTCCAGTTGAGAACATTCTGCTTCGTATCCTCCTCCGTGTCTTAAATCACTCTCCTGTCTTAGCGTTCGGAATTATTTGCTTCTATTTTTCATTCCAGCTCATCCACGTCAATGGGCCTCAAAGTCATCCTAGCTTCTCTCAGAGGAAACTGAGAACGGCCGTCACCTTTTAACCCGAAGAATTGCTCCTGTAACCACAGAGAATGCGATCTTAGGTTGAAAATGCGTGCCGGTCTGGAAAAGACTCTTGTAATTCAGAGATTTAATGTCCGGTTTGACAAATTTGCTGTTATAAATCAGCGTAGCGTATAGGCGGTCAGTCATTACAGCTTGCAATTCATTGACAGCGCTGCAGAAGTCATAACTTAAAAGGAAACGAGAGACAGTCCAGTATACTTTGATATATAGCATCTCTGTTAAATCGTGTTCAACATCTGTTAGAAAACCAGCTGGTACCCAGGAAAAATAGCAAGCAGGGGTTTCTTTAAATTAGCCACTGTTCTCTTTACACGAGCCCAGCTGGATTTGTTAGCCCCTTTTATCTCTCTCCAGGTGTAACTTTAAAAAAAGGGAAAAAGCGTTTTTAAATGAAGTTTCATTTTTCAAAGTCCTAGGGAAGAACATATCAAATAACTTGTTAGGGATAGCACTAACTGTTCACCATTACAAACTAATATCACAGAGCAAGAGATGTCCATTCTTCTCAAATATGGTCACAGCCATTGGTGCATGATTCAAACCAACAGCATGATTGTCACATTGATTCTATACAACATTTCTGTAAACAAGAAGTTAATATTCAGTAACTTGTTATATAATAGTGCTAGACTTTGTCTGTTTTTGCAGTGTTGTTTCTGACAGTGGTGTTGTTTTGCTACTGAATGAATCAGGAATTTGAATGAATCAGTGAATGATTCAAATTATCCACTTATAAGAACCATCATTTTTTCATAAAGGAAAATGTGATCTATATTTACTGGTGATATATTTATGAAGGATGAAACACACATTAGCAGTTAACATAATTGCAACATAGTATCATTGGAAAATAATTTTTTACATAGGAATAGATTCCTGAAAACTTGACCAAATATCTACATATTTCACAAGGGAAAGTGTTGTTTTCTTATTGCTGAAATTAATGGAAAAAATAAGGATGCCTTGAATTTCTGTCATTTACTAGAGCAGGGCTGTCCAAACTCTGTCCTGGAGGGCCGGTGTCCTGCAGAGTTTAGCTCCAACCCTAATTAAACACACCTGAAGCAGCTAATCAAGCTCTTACTAGGCATAGAAACTTCCAGGCAGGTGTGTTGAGGCAAGTTGGAGCTAAACTCTGCAGGACACCGGCCCTCCAGGACCGAGTTTGGACAGCCCTGTACTAGAGGAACTTGCAGAAAACTAGTTCATTCATTCATTCATTTCCTATTATGATGCTTGTCTGTTGTACATCTCAGAAAAGTTCAGTGTTGTTCCAGTCAAGTTTTGTTTGTTTACATTCTTCTGTTCAATACAGTTCTTGCATTGTGTTTTTTTAACAAATCGGTTGAGTAAATGACTTAAGTCATCAGTATTGGAAATAGCTTATGAGGTCAGTCACTTGTTTCTTCCCTAAATGAATTAGCGATTTTTAACAATGTTGTTGAGTGAATAATTCAGATGACTCACTTATAAGTTCAGTCACTTGTTTCATTCTTGAATGAATCTGTGTTTTTGAATGAATCTGTTGGGTAAATGATTCAAATGACTCACTCATGAGGACAGTCACTTCATTCCTGATTCAAGTGATTGAATGATTTAAGGCCAATCACTTGTCTCAACTTTGGTGCATCGATGTAACCTGGCAAAAGGAGTCACTGAAAAATCCCCACCACTAATACAGAGACTGGCAGTCTGTCTGGAAAGTGAAAACAAACAAGCAGAGTGATACAAACAGTAGAAAGTCCCAGCACTGTTGGACGACATCAGTGCTCTTGGAATGCCTCCCATCCAATAAAATTTGAGGACTAGAAGTAACTGTTGCATAATAAGATTCTATCTGTGCAGATAATGATTTTCTTTGCAGACCTACAGTGTGAATAAAAGTGAATGCTAAAGATGTTAATTCTAAATTATGTTCAAATGATGCACACATTAGCAATTAACATAATTGCAACATAGTATCATTGGAAAATAATTTTTACATATGAATAGATTCCTGAAAACTTTACAAAATATCAGTCATGTCATGCTAATGATGTTAATTCTAAATTATGTTCAAATGCTCCCGTGGGCTGCAGCAGTTACTGTACAGTGAGAAATGTTTATAGTGCATCTATTTGCATTATTGATGGGAATGAGGCTCATTTGAATATCACTGGACACGGACTCGGGGTAGTAATTCTGCAAGACTCCGCTGACTAATATGTTTAATTAGAGGTGATATATTACAGCTTATTAATTATTTACAATAACGGCAATCATGTCTACAGTCATAGGGGCAAAGAAAATGAGGAGCCGTAGAATAAAGAAGGTGAGGTAATGAAGGTACCAAAATAAAATTGCACGAACGAGAGACGAAGAGGCAGTGGTTTCTGGATATTTGCCGTAGATTCGAGGGGAATGCAGAAGGAGAGACGTGAAGCCGATATCCTTGAGCGGTTAAAGGCCTGTGTGCCTCCGAAACCGCTGTGAAAGGTGGACTCGGCCCTGGAGAAGAAAAGCAGCGGCCTCGCAGGGATTAGCCACAGGAGATTCCCTGTGGATAGCTGTCCCTTTTTTCCCAGGGACACTGTAATATGATTACTCTGTTGTTTGCGCCCGGTCCAGTGGTTAAGCACTATGGAGAGGAGGGTTCGGCCACCTCCAGGATGGACAATGAGAGAATTTTTTGGAGGGAAAGTTGGAATTCTGCTTGACTGAGGACAGCTGGGGTCTTACACTTAGAGAGGAGAGAATGAGGGAAAAAAGTGGCCTTTTCTTTGGCTGAATGAAAGGCATGTATGGTGCTCTGTACCACTGTGTTCTGCAGAGGTGCACCAGGCAGGGTCAGCAGGGCTCTTTGGATCTCTACGAAGGCCCCGGGCTCCCATCCTGCATCCCTACTGTTACACAGAGGAAAGGCATTCTCCGACAGACGTCATCGCAAATATTTATCTGTACAACTAACAAACAGTTTTCCTCGTTGCCCTTTTGAAAAGCTCCAGGACGTGTTGTTTGCAAAAAATAAATACTGTCGAATTTCATCACATGTGTTTCAATTCATTCCAATTAGTGAGTGTAAGCACAAAGTACACTCAATCTGAGGCAGTAACCGAATGTAGTAGTTCAAAAATCGGGCACTGGTCTATACAGGTTAGAGCTCTTTCATACTAGTATATATTTAACCTCTTATTGGAGGCTTTGAACGATGGAGTGTGTGGTTTTTATTTGATTTTCTTCAGTCACAGGATTGCTGTGAGCGCGAGCCTTAGTCAGCGCTGTTTGTTTGACAGGCCTGTCATTAATCATCATTGGCATTGTTTAAACTGGTTTGAGTGTCCAGGTCTTGTTCAACAGGGGGACAATAGTCTCTCTAAGCTGCTTCAGACCTGAAAGAAAGTTTATAAAATTTCCACCCAATGGAAACTGCAGGGAAGCGCCTTTTAAAGGGGGTTAGTATTCATTAGAACACTCTGGTTAAGGGCCCGGGCCGCTCCCATAAAAGGAAGCAAACCACCCACTAACCTGATGGAAAAGTGCACCTATGATGGACATCGCATCTCATCTGACAGTTCTGTAGTAGACTTGGCACATTCTTTCCATTCATTTTAGTGACGATGCCCTGCCCCGTGCTAAATTTAATCAAAGTTTTACTACCATTTTTAAAATTACAGTAATCAAGAGACGTTTTTCTATTTAAAGCTCTTGTGATTAATGACAACACAGTGTATGAAATATTGAGGTGACCCCCACAGTACCTCACAGATTCAGATCATTTGGTATTAACAGCCATTAGGATCAGATGAGCCGGTTATGAGGAAGAAAAGAAGATTGAAGATTAGGTGTGTGAGGCAGAGGTCAGTAATGGAGAGACGGCTACGAGGAAAGTGGATCAACTTATGATGTGAGAGGATGACAGTAACTAAATCTGTAACTCTGTAAGGATAATTATAACACTTTTTTCTTAGTTATTCATAAAATGTATCAATTTCAGTTGGCCAATTAAATGTAATCGAATCAGATACATTGAAACTACAACTAAATAAAGGCTGGGGTGAGATTTATATTTTTGTTTTGTTTATTCTCAATAAATTAATTTATTATTTTTGTTTAAATAAAAACAAATTCTCATGTAAATATTTCATATGTACATGTTAAATGGATAACAACATGAGGGAACTACAACAGCAGTTTAAAATCAATTAATAGTCATGTCTTTAGTTGTCATCTGTTTTTTTGTTTGTTTTTGTTTTTTTGCACAATGATGCAAGAGGTTTTTAAAAAATATTGATACAAAAACAATACAAATATGCATAATGTTTGAAGGTGCAACATTATTTGTATGATTTTATTTATTTTAAATAAAATGTAAAACTCTAAATTTACACAATTTACGTAAAAGTTGAACTCAACTCAAAACAGGTGTTTTTAAAAACATTTATATAAACTATTGCTGAAACTTTCCAATAGTCTGGGAAGAGATAGAAAATGTAATCGTATACATGC